TTATAATATAAGGCCACTGTTTAGCCTCAGTAATGTTTTATCTCTGAAGGCTAGTGCCCAGGGCCACCCCGGCTCCCATTTAACTAGTTCTTACCTGTTTTGTTGTTTCTGTTCTACTTTCACTTAGCAGATCTATCTAATCATCTTTGTAAGTTTTTTACAATATTTATAGTTAATGTAATTACTGATATGTTTGGATTCAGCACTATTTTTATTGTTGTTGATATTATTGCTGTTATTAAGTCAGTGTCTCACAATGTGGCCCTCTGTGGCTTGGTGCTTACTACTTAGACTAGGCTAGCCTGAAACTTCAGAGACCCACCTCCCTGTGTCAGTGTGTGCATGACTACGTCGCCTATGGCTACTCTTTAATTCTTTTTCTTTATTCTCTTTTATGCCTTTGCGTTGTTGGTTAGTTTGTTTATCACCGAGCTACACCGTCCGTCCTCTTCCTGCCGTCTTTTAGAAGTTGAACATTTGGTAGTATTCCATCTTAATTTATCTCAAAGTGTGTCTATTTAATAGTTATTTCCACTCTCCTTTACCCCTCCATCTCTTGTGGGTTGGTGATGCTAGGAGCTAAACTCAGGACTTTGTGCATTTAAGGAAAATAGTCCACCACTGACCTAAATCTCAAACCCAGCAGTTACTTCTTTTAGTGGATGCTGTAAAGATTCCTAAGTACATGCATGTTAACTTTTTGTAATTTGTTAGGACTAGAGAATATGGAAATCTTACCACCTTATAGGTTTGCTTGAATTGTGGTTCCCTTTTGTTCCTTTTTAATCCCAATGAAATAATTGAAAAAGAGACTTTTTCAGTGTCTCAATACAATACATTAACAATACAAAAACAATAAAATGGTTGCTTGAGAACCATTTTATTAGAGTGTGGAAAAAAACACAGCAGAGCAGGTTAACTAATTTGGCAGTTGACAGGGAGAAGGGACATGGAAAAAATGCTCTGTGATTTAGGGTCATCAATTGATGTCTATAAACAGCTGTTAAAAAACTGCTTGGGATTTTGGCTTGTGTTCAAAGAAGAGATAGACAGGCGAAAAGAAAGAAGTTACAATTAATGGGCAGCCTTAGCAGAGATCTGCAAGCAGCTACCCTGAAGGAGGGGCTTCTGTGCTATGTAAGTACCTTAGCTCATTAAGGGGATGATTGTTCTTCCCATGTGCTTAGCTTGTCTTTGCTTTGTATTCTTTAGACTCCATTCTCCTTCATCTGAGGATGGTTGCTGTGGCTGTAATAGAGGATTTTGATAGCTACTGCTTTCAAACTTTAAAACTTGTGTTGCTGGGCTGAAGAATATGGTGTGGAGAGTAGAGCAGACACCCACTAGAGTGTCTCCTTAGCATGCATGAGTCCTGGGTTTGAAGTCCAGGGGCAAAGAGAAAAAACCCTGCCCAGTTCTTCTGGCTCACATGGGGAATTTTCAAGTTTTCAACGTTTTATCTTTTGGTTCTAAAAATCTCCATTGTGGCTTGCTTGCTGTTCATCCTGAAGTATTTCACTTGATTGGAGAGCATTAGGATTATTGGGATTTTCACATTTGATGCTTTGAAGTCAGGTGAGAATTGTAACTTGTTGCTTTTAATTATATAATTACATTATGTATTTTAATGAAAATACAGTTATATCCATTTCCCTCTTTCCTCCCTTCAGCCCCCTCAAGTACCCCCTGTGACTTTTTCCTCAGCTTGCTGGGTGGGGAATGGGTGTAAATCCCTTCCCTTAAAGAGAAAGCCTGCATGTAAAACCTTTATGGTTTCTCTAACACCATCTGTGAACATGAGGACCCTGTGCCCTTTCATAGGTCCCACACCTAGACAAAGAACTACTGAGAGAGGGAGAATTAGCCCCTCCTGGGGATAAGCCTTCTAACTGGTTACCAAGTGGTCAGCCTGAATCCAAATACACACAACAAAAACAGACTCATGAGGTTGTATTTATATATTTATGCATACATATACATATATCTATATGTAACACTGATGGTCAAGAAAAAGAGGTTATCAGTTTGAGAGTAATGGAGAGACACAGAAAGAAAAAGAAAGAGAAGGGCGAAGAGCAAGGGAACGGAGAGAGAGGGAAGGGCAAGGGCAAAAAGGGCAGGTTGGAACCAAAATGTCTGAATTATATAATGAAGGGCCTCTGGGCGAGGGGAAGCCCCACCCCTAGGTAGAGGGCAGGGCATGCCATCTGCACCCTATCTCAGGTAGAGCGCAACAGTCACCATTTGCTCTAAGAAGAAGCTTCTTTGATGTGGGTGGTAACTATATTTGTCTTTGGGTACAACAATAAGATTGCCAATGTAGTTAGGAATTATGCAGGACTAGCAAAGTGGCAGTGGTAGATTTTCTTCTAAAATCCATTATTGTGGATATAAACATGTTTTTGTTTTAATCCCAGGTGTGGGATGTGGGACTGATTCAGATAGTCCATAGCAGCAAACTATTTGCCTCATGCAGGCTCTGAGAGAAGCTCTTTGCCAACTGCAGATAGTTTAAATCTGAGGACTCTGGAGAGAGAATAAATGCCAGAGCCCAAAGAGTGTTGGGAATCTCTGAGAAAGAACAAGGCTGCCACTGCTTCCCCCCTGTGACTTCTGGTTGTGCAGCAAGACAAGAAGTTGGAGATGTCCTGAAACAAGAATTGGACTGGCTCCAAGGAACCTGACAACCCTAACCAGCATGGAGCAGCTAAGAGAACTGTGCCCCCTCTCCCACTATCTCTTTCTCTTTCCTACCTGATGTTGGGGTGTTGGAAGTGATTGGGGTAGAGTAGGGAGAAAGAGATACAAAAAATATAAGTAAAAGACTTAAAAAAATACACCAATAATCCATGGCTCAGTAGCACCAAGTTGTTGGCCAGGAGTTCTTTATGTGCTGAGTAACTTGAATGGAAAGTGGGCACGTTGTATATTGTGACATGAAACTTTGGTCTTCCTAAAACCATTGGAGGATGTTGCTGTTCTTACTTTATTAGGCAGACAGCCTGTCTTCTCTGGGCTGTGGTTCCGTCAGTCCCACTTCTCAACTTCTGTGTCACTGAGACCCGTCCCTTATGTTTCACATGGCCTTTGGTCTCATAAGTATGCAGTCTTAGATCTATACTCATGTTCTTTCAGTATACTCATCTTTAATTTCAAGAGCAGTTTTGTGGACTCTCTGTTCCTCTACACACTGGCTTAGGACTTAACTGGGTCTGTGGAATGTCCCTTTTCTGTTTTTGTCTTGGGATGTAACTCTGACCCTTGAGTGGACACAAGAACAGCGTGCCAAGGTTTGTCTGTTTTTATCTTCCACACTGCCATTTTGTTGAGGCTTCTATTTAGTGCTTCCTTTAGCTCATTGGTGTTACTTCCTTCTTAGAATACAACCTGTCCTGTGGCTCCATCTGCGGACAGAGCCCAGTACTTCACATCTCCTCTCCAGGATAGTGGACTTTCTAACCCACCACTCCATTGTCATACTTTTTAAAAACTCTTTTATTTACATTTCTTATATCTCTCTCTCTCCCTACTCCACCCCAATTCCTTCCAATACCTCAGCACCAGGTAGTAGAGAGAAAGGGTTAGTGGAGGGGAGTCGCAGTTCTCTTAGCTGCTTCTTGCTGGTTAGGGTCGTTGGGGTCCTTGGTTGGAGCCAGTCCAATCCTCATTTCAGGAGATCTCCAACTTCTTGTCTCACGCATCAGCAACAGCCAGGAGCAGGGGAAGCAGCAGCAGCCTTGTTCTTTCTCAGAGCTTCTCCACACTCTCTGGGCTCTGGCATTTCTTCTCTCTCCAGAGTCCTCAGAATTAAACTCTATGCAGCTAACAATGAGCTCCTCTCAGAGCCCACATGAGGCAAATAGTTTGCTGCTGTGGACTATCTGAATCAGTCCCATATCCCATACCTAGGATTAAAACAAAACTATGTTTATACTCATAAGCCTGCTAGGGACAGAACACAATCAGTGGGAGGCAGGATATGTGTGTTTCTTCTGCCTTTTGTAGCTAGAATAGAAGATTGCTGTTACAGCTGCATTTCTCTGCCTCTCCGTACTGGCTTTGGGGTTTATGCTTTTAACAGACATCACCCTAGTTCACCTTGCACACACTCCACCTCTTTAGTAACAGTCCCTGTGATTCCAGCCTGTCTGTGTAGCTACTTGCTGATGGCCAAGGGCAGTGCTCTTGTAACCTACCTCTGTCTCTTATATATTTGGAATAACCATGCAGGAGCTGCTGCCCTATTTTGTTCACGTGCAGGGTTAGCACAGAGGGTGTTCTTTGGGACCCTAAGGACGAACAGCTAGGACTACAGAAAGGAGGCAGGAAGTGATGGCGAATGTAGTAACCTGGATTAGCCAGGATTTTCTGTAGTACCCAGTGTCTGAGTTAGGGTTTCTATTGTTATGAAGAGACTCCATGACCATGGCAACTCTTATAAAGGAACACATTTAATTGGGGCTAGCTTACAGTTTCAGAGGTTTAATTCATTATTGTCATGGTCGTAAACATGGCAGAGTGCAGGTACATGTAGTTGGTTGGAGGAGCTGAGAGTTCTACATCGTGATTGGCAGGCAGCAGAAGCAATTGTGTGCCATAGTGAGTGTTGCTTGAGCATTGGCAACCTCAAAGCCTGCCTCTACAGTAACACTTTCTCCAACAAGGCCACGCCTACTTCAACAAGGCCATACCACCAATAGTGCTGCTCCTTATGGGCCAAGCATTCAAACACATGAGTCTGGGGGGTGGGGGTGGTCGTTGATATTCAGACTACTACACCAGGGTACTCTGCAGGTCAGGAGAGCTTTCCTGTTAAGCCTGGAGGAAGGAAAGGTCTTTCAGGGACTTGTATTTGCCAGGCCATTGTGCCTTGTCTGTCTACAGTGCCCTTGAAAGATAAGACAGGACTTGAAGCCCACATAATGCACTTCAGAAGGCCCATTGTGCATTCTAGACCCTGTCTTTCCTCACCAGTGGCTTTGTGCTTTGCTCTGTTTCAGGATGGCTGCCCAAGTGACCCTCGAGGATGCGCTGTCCAATGTGGACCTCCTGGAGGAGCTGCCTCTGCCTGACCAGCAGCCCTGCATTGAGCCTCCACCGTCCTCACTGCTATATCAGGTAGGTCTGTGAGCAGATGTGACATAGCTGGCTGCTCGGACCCCAACGTGATGGTTTTGTTTTTCCTTTCCCTTCAGCCAAATTTCAACACCAACTTTGAAGACAGAAATGCATTTGTCACTGGCATTGCAAGATACATCGAACAAGCAACTGTCCACTCCAGTATGGTAATGTTGTCTGTTTCTTTGTTTCTGTCTAGCAGGTGCCGTATTTGAACAGCAAATAAACTGCATATTTCCTGATAGACTAGGTCGAAAAAAAGAAAAAAAGTCTCACAGTTTTAAGGACATCTTTGCTCTTATCATAAAATACAGTGCATACTCTTTAAAAAGAAATTGAATCTCAAGATGGGTGGTGGTGGCACACGCCTTTAATCCCAGCATTCGGCAGGCAGAAGCAGGCTGATCTCTGTTGAGTTCGAGGCCAGCCTGACTTACAGAGTAAGTTCCAGGACAGCGAGGGCTACACAGAGAAACCCTGTCTGGAAAAACAAAACAAAACTAATTAATTAATCAATCTCTGGCGCAGAGAAAGAGTCTTTGGCAGCACTGCAAGCATACCTTTTTTGCTTAGTGCTCTTCATGCCTTTACTTAAAATTTGTTAGGTGGATACTCAGACAGGACTTAGGTTTTCTAGATGAATCCTACTATTATTTCCCCTTTTGTGTAATAAAGAATGCTGCGATGAACATATTTCTAAATTATGAGATGAAAAGCAGTACTTTTAATGCATCTTAAGACCTTTGCCAGATTTCCAGTCACATCTTAAAGAACACCTATCGATTTTTTTTTTTTAACACTTTTACCAAAGCAAATGATATGGAAGTAATGGAACAAACACCAAAAAATGATGGTTGCCCTCTTCATGTGGACACTGTTCCTGAATTTTTAGTGCTAGGAAGTATTCTGCCTTTCCCTCCCATATATCCTGGACTAGCAGCTCTATTTCTGAACCTCGTCTGAACCAGAAAGCTTAATGTGACCTGAATACTATGAGGATGCTATATACTATTGTCCAGGCTTTCATGCCTCTAGTTTTAGGTCTGCATTGCAGGTACTTACTTGGGGTTGGGTGGGGCTAAGATGTACCACTCTGGTGGCTCTCCTGAGAAATCACTACATCGTCACCCAGAGTTCTTTGAAGCCTGCTAAGCTGTAGGGAATGTTGGGAGTAGTGTTCATGGTCTGTAGTGTCAGGCTACAGTCTTTCAAAGAGGTAGTAGGGCACTTTGTGGAGCTACCAGCAGTTTGCATCTCCTTTCGTGTTTGTTGCCCTGTTTGCAGATGATTTGTCCTATGTATTTTGTAGAACGAGATGCTAGAGGAAGGCCAAGAGTATGCTGTTATGCTGTATACGTGGAGGAGCTGCTCCCGTGCCATCCCACAGGTGCCTTGCCCTTTTCTGCCACACCTGTCCCCAGTCCTGCCAGCTCACACCATCTTGTACACCTTCTGTGGTTATGGGAATGACTGCTTTGGCCTGGTAAAAACCTTACTTTCTATTTATTTCTTTACACTTAGGTGAAGTGCAACGAGCAGCCTAATAGAGTTGAAATTTATGAGAAGACTGTGGAAGTCCTTGAACCCGAGGTCACAAAACTGATGAATTTTATGTACTTTCAGGTAAAGCATAACTAGAGGAGTTTAATGCTAATTATTAAGGACAGTGTAACCTAAAGGAAAACAACCGCTCAGGCAGAAGAGGACTAAGGCTCCCACACTCTTCAGAGTAAATAGTTATTTTGTGTTTCGTCTCTCTTTTAGGGTTAGTTTTTATCCTGCGCAAAATCTTGCTTTCATCACTTCCAAGTGCAGTATATGTCTAGTTTTTTCAGTCATTTTCTTAGTACTTCCTGGTACTTCCTTACCCTGTGTTTGACCTCCCTTGATCCTTCCGTTAGGCCAGATTTTTTTTTTTTTTTTTTTTTTTGAGGTGGTGGGGGGTAGAGGCCAGTGGAAGAGACTCTGACTCTTTAAAGTGGTGGAAATATCTACAGTTCTTAACTGTAGCTTTCCTTGAATTTTTTCTTATTCTTAAAAGTTCCCAAGAAGAGAATCCTCTCCACTTTCCCCTAAGACAGTCAGCGTCAGTATTGTAGATGTTTTCTTGGAGCATTTTTCTTGGTAACTGCCTTCAGTTGTTTTCGGTTGCTGTAACAGAATACCCCAGTGAGCCAACTTAAAGGAGAATGGGTTTGTTTTGCTTGTAGTTCAAGAGTTCTGTTCATCATAGCAGGGAACTCAAGGCAGTAGGAGCTTTACTCACCTGGCCATGTCACTTCCATGACACAGAGAAAAGGATGTATACTGTGTCCTAGCTCCTTTCTCCAATTCTACAGCCCAGAATCCCAGCCAGGGAATGGCTGGGTGGGTCTCTACCTCTGTCAGTATAATCAAGGTAATCCCCTGTAGGCATGCCGGCAAACCCATCTCCCAGGTGATTCTAGATCTGTCAAGCTGACAGCCAGCAGTAACGGCCACAGTAGTTCTGGAATAAGCAGCAAAATTCTTTTACTTTAATAAGACATATAGTTGATAAACGTCAAAATAAATAATGACGTTTACAGAGGGAAGGCATGAAAATTGCACAGACAAGGGTGTTTGTGAGATGGAAGGTGAATCCTAGAGCCTCAGTGAGTGACAGTGAATGAGGGACCATCCTTGAAGCTTGGACATGAATTCGATGAGCTGCTGAATAGAGCTCTATTCCCTCCCCTTTCTGTGCTCAGAGAAATGCCATTGAGCGTTTCTGTGGGGAAGTGAGACGCTTGTGTCATGCTGAGAGGAGAAAGGACTTTGTGTCTGAAGCCTATCTGATCACCTTGGGCAAGTTTATCAACATGTTTGCTGTGTTGGATGAGCTGAAGAACATGAAGTGCAGTGTGAAGAATGACCACTCAGCATATAAGAGGTGAGCTCAGACCTGCAGTGTCTGCGGGGTCTACCCAGAGAGGGCCTGTGTCAGCCTTGTACATAGCAGGTACATGTCTCCTACAAGCTAAAATCACCAGTCAGTCAGTCTTGAGACTTTTGAATACATGCTGCCAAGAATAGGTGCAGGGCTAGCTGACAGCTTAATGGTCTCTGGTAGTTTTACACATCTTCAGTGGCCTGGAGCTTTCTGGTGAGCTTCAAATGGTTTTGGGGGAATCTGGGTGTTTAGCACCCTTGAGACAATAAACAGTGTGCATCTATCTCTGTGTGTAGGTGCTCAGCGTAGGGTACTTCTTATTGTGGGGAACATGGTTTTTTCATTCACGGATGCTGAGCTGCAGTCCTTGGAGAAGTTGGCAACCCCCTTGCTTGTTCTGTGTGTGGTGACTGACGTGGTACTTCATTGCAGACAGGAGGTTGTACAATCTCGGCCCTTGCACTGTTGGCAGATATCTTAGGATCACACTGAGCATTCCAGGGACTCTGGACAACTAGTTCTTTTCTATGGCAACTTCAGCATTCTCTTTTTAAGGCAGAGAATTTCTGGAAAGAGGCCAGCAGGGGTGTATTAATCAGGCTTTGTTGTTGCTGTGGTAAAATACCTGAGGTTCAGGTTTAGGATCATTTTAGGTCATAAACGATCAATTGAGAAAATCCTTCACAGGCATACCAAGCTGCTTGGATTTTACCCGGATCCAGATGTAGTCAAATTGACAGTAAGGTTAGCAATCACACTACCCTTTATATCCTCATTCATTCATTTTCATTGATATTCTCTCTCTCATTCACTCTCATTTCTTTTGGGCTCAGATGCTAACTTTTAGTACATATTCTGAGTAAAATGCAAAAATAACTCACAGAATTGTGATAAGCCTTGACTGAAATAAAAAAGTATCCTAAGTTCACTCCTTTCTTGGTTGCCATGTCTTATATTCAAGCATCTACTGAAATCAATAAGGTGAATGCATTAAAAAGAGTGTTACTATATCAGTGATATGATTGAACTGTATATAACTTTTCAAAATATCAGTTTTTAAAATTCTGATTCAATTATTTTAATTAAGGACTTTACTGTCCTGCAGTCATGACATATTGCTCATAGTCCACTATGGCTGCTTGAGTTCTACCTACAATTTACATTCTGGTCAACAGGGAGAAAAGAAAACATGAAGCTGTGCTCTTTCTTAGAAGTAAACGTTCAAGCTCCTGATAATCTTTTGCAGCATGTCTCATGGCCCACCCCTTGGTTACCTAGCCACAGCCAGCTACAAGGGAGACACTTTGCCATTTCTTGGAAATTTCAGGTTGTTGATGAGAAAGAAAGAAAGTGAATTTAGTATGGATATTATTTTTCCTTGTGGAAAAGTAAATGCTTAAGATTCTAAGTTTCACAGATAAATAGTTAATGGGCAGTTTCTGTTACATGTAAAGATCTCTCACTCTTTTTCTACAAAGACTCACATGTGCCTTCCAGGATTTTACTGTGCAAGCCCTGTAGGACCCTGGGAAGTTACAGTACTAGTGGACTGAGGCAGAATAGTTGGGGAGAGGCATTTCTTGTTGGAAATAGTGGTAGCCCAGAGAGGTTTTGGAAGGATCCTTAACAATGCGTTTCAGGGTCTTTTGGAGTCAGAATATGCAGAGACAAGGTTTTCTCTGACACAGAGATTAGGGTCCTTTGCCCCATATATAAAGGTGGGCATTCACCTAGTAAAGGAGAGACCAGAGTATAGGTGCCTGTTGATGAAGTCCATTGGCCATGGCCAATAGAGCACAAAAGCTCTCTGGAACTGTGTAAGGTACATCTAAGTTGGCAAATGGTTCCTCTAGAGTCAAGATCAGAGATGCTGCAAGAGGCTTAAACCGTAAGCATCTTTTGCAACACACATTTCTGCAGTTAACTGCAGGTAGAGGAGAGGAATCCTCACCCTCTCTCCTCCAGTACCTATCCCTTTAAATCAGTTTGTGGATGTTTTGGAATTGACTCTCTTATTTCTAGGGCTGCTCAGTTTTTGCGTAAAATGGCAGATCCACAGTCCATCCAAGAGTCACAGAATTTGTCTATGTTCCTGGCCAACCACAACAAGATCACACAAGTAAGGCCTGTATTTTCCACACCCCATTGATGGCGCATGTTACGGGTGAGACGGGAGTGGTCAGTAGCTTATATCTTCCCCTCATGTTTCAGTCTCTGCAGCAGCAGCTTGAGGTCATTTCTGGCTATGAAGAGCTCCTGGCAGACATCGTGAATCTGTGTGTGGATTACTATGAGAACAGAATGTACTTGACGCCCAGTGAAAAACACATGCTTCTTAAAGTACGTGTGTGGAGGAGGGGGTGACAGCCTCTCTTGGGGATGAAGTCTGGGACCCTTTGCCAGCCTGTTCTTATTCTTAGGGTGTCGTGTATGTGGGTAATGTCACTTGAGCATGCACACAATCTGCTGGCTTTGCTTTGCTCATCTCTTCTGTACACAGCTGGTCTGGGGCGCTGTCTGCTGAATATGCCTGGTGTCCCAGTTTGTGACACATCCTTGTCAGAGCACCATGAGGTGATGGGTGGTCCATGACAGCGAAACATCATGACTATGACTGTGTTGGCTGCTGCAGAAGGCCCTGGTCATGTTACCAGGGTGCATTGGGGATGTGTACCTGGCTGTTGCCAGATTGAATTTGTCAGTTAACGTATACTAAAAGTCAAGTTTAGTACTTATGTTGGCTGTGTTTGGGATAGCACAGTTCTGCAAAAGTCTTGATACTCAGGTTAGGCTAGTCAGTGCTGCTTTGTCTTTTAGCAACTAGTCTGGAAACCAAATTACCCTTTGTAACCTAATTTCAGTAAAGGAAAAAAAAAATGTGTTCAAAGCACCAGACTTGGAATAACGTATTAAATCACAACAAAACCTTAAAACCTATACAACTTAACACACACTGTCACACTTGCTGTGAGCTGGGTAACTCCTGCATCTGACCATGAGTCGTTCCAGGTATTAAATACTGCGTGAACATTTGCCGATTCTTGTTCATACTCTGGGGACTGCTTTATTTCTGGCACCTAGACTTAGTAGGTATGAAGTTATTCTCTAAGAATGGAACTTATGGCATTATTGAGGAGCCACCTTCTAATTCTCTTGTGCAGTTGCCAACATTGAGTTCTGCCCTGTACCCTGCTCAGCAGGCATTGATACTTCATTGTCTAGGGAGGAAGCTGAAGTAGCCACCAGAGATGACATATACAAGGAAAAAAAGTTTTATGTGAAAGAATACCTCTATTTTGTAACACCATTTAAAGAAAGAGTGATTTGTGATTTCAGAGTTACCATCTTTGGCAGTATGCATCTGTGTGGGTAAATTCACAGCTCTAAATGTTATATTGCATCATTTTGTGACTTTTCAGGTCATGGGATTTGGTCTGTATTTGATGGATGGGAGTGTCAGTAACATCTACAAACTAGATGCCAAGAAAAGAATAAATTTATCCAAAATAGACAAATATTTCAAGGTGAGTTTCAAATATCTGTACATAGGTTTATACACACACACACACACATATATATATATATGTTTATATACAAATGAATTTAAACATATGTAAAATTTTTTGACAAAGATTTTTGCTTAGTTCTTAGCATTGATAATAAATGTTATTTATTGATATATGCTGTGAGTTTTTGCCCAGTGAATCTGTGAGTGATTGTGATGTAAATCAGGATGTGTAGTAAGGCAAGAGAGGGTCTTGAGACTTAATCTCTCCTCTGAAAAGGTGGCTGCTTTCTCTTTCCTGCTCCTTGCCTTGGTTTTGCCTGGGTTGAATAATGTAGATATGAACTCATAAGATTTCTTCTCTTTGACATCTGGCTGCATATGTCCAACCTTCTCTTTGAAAAGTATTCTTCAGGGAGCCTGTTGGGAGAGCTTATAGATTTGCTTATTTTTATTTTATTTTATGCTAGAACCATTTAAATAGAATGAAATATGTCTGCCAGATCCAGGAAGAAAAAGGCTTGTGACTATATGTCTTTCAGTAACACTTATAAACATGAAAGAACAATGATCTAGCTCAGTTTCAAAGTTCTTATGTGCATTTGACCAGTGTCTCCTTACTGCCAGCTGGAATGACTAAATTATAGATAAATTAGGGTCCCTTTGCTTCTCTTCTCATTCTTCTTGTCTAGAGACATTTTATTAGGAAATTTCAATGCAGCTTAGTAGTCAGTAGCTCTGGATTTTCCATATAATTATAACTTGTTTAATTACAGAGAAACCCCTGCAGAGATGGAGCTCAAGGTTGCATGCAGTAACAGATTATGGTTTTGAAGTCTAGCACTAATTAAAAAAAAACTGTAGGTGTGTAATTTATGTTAGACACACAGATTTTCTTTTGAACTACATATTAGCTATTAGCTGACATTTTTAAAGGTAATTTCTTTTTTAAGTTTTTATACAGGTATACATTGTATACTCCCCATCCTCCCTTTCCATGGATATTATTTTTTAAATAAAGTAGTGCATGTAGGACAATCAGTTACGCAGTTCACACAGCTCTGAATAGTTTTTCAGTGCCAGCTGCCAGTTGATTATGTAATGTGGATGAGCTTTAAACATTGTCCATTCCTAAGATTCGACGAAGAATTGGTTAAGACACTGGGTTGTTGCTTGATTTTTATTTTTAGTGGTTACATAGGTTTAGAGTGTTTGATTATCTCTTTGTAAATCAGAAAAATCAATCATCCAAAACAATAGCATCTTAAGGAGGTTGCTCTGGCCATTTCTAGTTGGTGTCTGTTAGGTCACCTCTAAGACCCCTCTATAAGTCCTTCTGTAGTTCATGGAGCTTTGATCAGAGCCATCTGATAGTCACCTCATATTTTTTTTTAGTCAATACCTGGCTAAAACTAGATGTCTTACCCAGCATATTTAACAAATATCTATAAAAAGATTGTACAGGGTTAAACTTCCAGGAGGCAGTTTAGTCCTTAAACTCTAAGCAGAATTGGTTAAGACCCAAGCTTGGAGCTCCATATGCCTGGGTGGAAAGAGAAGCTGGGGACCAACTGAGTAGGTTAGTAACTGCATTGGTATCCGTGTGACTGCATTTGACCCCTGATCCAGGAAGACACCTCATGTAGAGGGCTCAAATAAGATCCGCAATCCAGGGGTGGGAGATGGCTTAGCAAGTTAAAAAGCATCTTCTATATAAACTTTGTGATCTGGGTTTGGTCCCCAGAACCCACGTAAAAAAACCAGATGTGGTAGTATGCATTTATAATCCTACCACTCCTATAGCAGGATGGGAAAGTGGAGACAGGAGAAATACCAGCTAACATGGAGTATGTCAGCAGTGTTAACAGCACTGTGGTGGTTTGAATGCTACACGTCCCTCATGGCTCAGGTGCGTGAACACCCGGTCCCCAGTTGGTGGTACTGTATAGAGAGATGGCACTGCCCTCCTGGAAGAGAAGACCCAGGGTGGGCTTTGAGAGTTTATATCCTCACCCCACTTCTAGCTCAGTCTCTCTATTTCCTTCATTTGAATGAAGCTGTGCTCTCTCAGCATCCTGCTTCCACTGTCTGCTTCAGGGTCTCCCAGGCCATCATGAGTCACCGCCCAGAACTTACAACCCAAAATAAGCCCTTTCCTCCATACGTTGTTTGTGGTCACGGTGTGTTTTGTTTTGTTTGGTTGTTTGTTTTCTGAGACAGGGTTACTCTGTGTAGCCTTGGCTGGCCTGTACTCGCTCTGTAGACCAGGCTGGCCTCAAATGTAGAGATCCACCTGCTTCTGCCTTCCCAAGTGCTGGGATTACAGGTGTGTACTACTGCACCCAGCTGGTCATGGTGTTTCATAGCAACAGAGAAGTAACTAAGACACGAAGAAACAGAGAGGGCTGGAGAGATGGTTCTTCATTTGGCCCTGTTTATTAGTTACAAAGACATTTATGTCTCCATTTCTCTTCAATCTCTTCAGCTCATAAATCAGTCTATGAATCTGACCTGGGTCTCTGTCCTGTATTTGGGCTTCCTTCCTTGATGCAAGGCTACACGCTGCCTTACTATCTGCAGCTTTCTGCCGGGTGTGCTTCTTGAAAGACGATCTCTTCCAGTTTATTCTTTAAGATAATCTTAGATATAGTAGAGTTAGGCAGCAAAAGGTTACCCTGTGGGTTTGGGTCAGGAAATGCTGCATAGATCATATCATGTAACAGAGGTTTATTGGGGGACAGGGAGAGTGAAAGTCTGTCTTGGAGTGGGAACATGAGAGAGATACAGAGATGTCACATAGGAAAATGCGAAACTAATAATAACAGTGGAAATGTGTCCTGTGTGGTGTCACAGATGATGTAAGCTGCTGGTGCTGGGCCACTGAAAGGCAGACTGGCAGAGTGCCTGATTTACAACAGATACCATCCTGCACTTTTCAAACCACGTTTTAGAATTGGTTTGCTGGTTTAGAAACAAAGCATTTTCCTACTGAAACATTGATTGGTAGTTCCTAAATATAGGTCTGGGCTGGAGTATAGCTTTGTAGTAGGTCCCTAGCAACAATAACCACAAAGAATAAACTTAATGAAAACTATCAGGTTCAAATGAAACTCCATTTCCCAAATTCCAAAAGGTGGAAGGGACAGATGGCTATCAGTGCGGTACCTATCAGCATACTAATGTTCATGCTGGCCTCCAGGCTCCCTCAGTATCACAAGTACCTGTTTTGTAGTTCAAAGTTCATGCTAGCATTTTAGCTCTTCCCACCATCTCTCTACCCTAAACTCTGTCTAGCTCCTGGGCTTCCCTGCCTGCAGGTACTCATTTTCCTTATAACCCTGCTATTTTTGATATGTTCACACTCTCCTTGTCTTTGTTCTCCCTCTCTCTAACCCCCTCTCTCTGTTCTGCTCCTGTTTCTCACTATGTTTTCTCTATTCTCTATCCTCTGCTATTCCTCCCTCTTTTGCAGAGATAGCTCGAGCCATGTCCACTCTGCTGGTCATGTTCGCTCTGCTCTTTTCTCTCTCTGCTCTGGATTCTTCCAGATGACTCTGACTGTTCTCTCTCTCTCATATCTACAATCAAAAAAATTTCCCTTAACCATACCATGGAACAGTCATGTCATGATCTTGGATTTTGTACTTTATAAAAAAAAGTAAAACAAACAAACAAACAAACAAAAAACAAAAACAAAATCCCCCAAAACTATTGGGCTATTCTAATACATGAACATGATAAATTATTTTATCCACTGAGAATTTTCTCTAGAATTTTTTATAAATTTTTGCTTTGAGGTTTTACAAATGTTTTGTTCATGAGTATCTGGATTTGTTGTAAACTGTTTGCCTATAAATTTTCATCTTCCAAGTCTTCATTACAAATACATAAAAATGCAGCTGTGGCTGTAGGCTGTTTTTAAACGTATTTTCCGATGTGTTGTTTCTTAATTTGTATTTTCTTTCCAAAGACGATATTTACATGCTGAATGATTTATAGCTTATTTAACCCAAGCTAATAGTTAAACGTTAGTTATTTTCCATGTAGCTATTTATTTGGTGGCTGGCTGTACATTGTAACACTTTCTCTTTTTGTTACGTGAACATACAGCAGCTGCAAGTGGTTCCACTCTTTGGAGATATGCAGATAGAGCTGGCGAGATACATCAAGACCAGCGCTCACTATGAGGAGAATAAGTCCCGGTAGGAAGTGAATAAGCTTCCCCCACTTCTTCGTACATAGCTTCGGCTCTTCCATAGTGTGTGTTTACTTATCTAAAGTCATTACTCTGATATTCCTACAGGTGTGGAAACAAATGTCCTGTATGGTTGCCCTTGCCAGATGTGGCTGTTCATATTTGAATTCACTGATAAAATTGCTAAGCATTTTAATTTCCTTAGTAAAGCTAACCACATTTTGAATGTTCAGTGCCCAGTGACTAGATGTTGGACGGCACAGACTTAAAATACTTTTATCATCCCCAAGATTTCTACCATACAGTACTGGTTGAGAATATTAAAATACTTTTCTGGACCCAGTTGGTTGACAACCCAGGAAAGAGAGGGGCTCTGCATGTATATTAACGGAGTTTACAGAATTGTTACCTGAGGGCTAAACCAATCCAACCTATGTTTGTAAAGTCCCTAGAGCTGAGACTAGTGGTCTTAAATGCTTTTTAATGGAAACGGTTTTTTAAAAAAAAAAAAAAAAAAAAGATGCTGACTGTAACAAATGGGGCAGAGACACTGTGGCCTACAGGTCCTGAAGTACTTACTGTTTCTGTGTGGAGAATAATCTCACCTGTCAGGATTTCTGTAGCTCATCATTACAACTTTTGTATGCATACAGTCTTACTTATTGTGCATTTCACATAGCCCATTGAACAGCTCAGGTGGTTTTACTGATTTGAGTGCTCAAATCCTTAGGCAAATACCCAACCTGTATTTACCGCTTAGCTGCGATTTATATTTACATTTATATTTACATTTCTCCCTCGGGGTCAGCAAACCTCTCCTAGTTAAAGCTATACAGTACATCTTTCAGCCTTTATAGGCCTCAGATGGTTCCTGTCAACTATCCCTTAAACGACTCTTTCGAAAATGTAAAACTTAGCTGGGTGCAGTGGTACACGCCTGTAATCCCAGCACTGGGGAAGAAGAGGCAGGTGGTTTTCTGTGAGTTAGAGGCCAGCCTGGCCTGCAGAGAGAGTCCAGGACAGCCAAGGCTACACAGAGAACCCCTGTCTTGAAAAACGAAAGCAAGCAAGCAAGCAAACAAAACCCTAAAAACTGAAAATGTAAAACTCATTGAATGGTCCTGGCACCACAAACAGTGTCTTCCGTTGCAGCTAAGGCTGTTCCTAGGCACTGTGCTGATGCCTTGGGTCATGCAGGCTTTCTCTCCGTGCCCAGGTGGACCTGCACATCCTCAAGCAGCAGCCCACAGTACAACATCTGTGAGCAGATGATCCAGATCCGTGAAGACCATATGCGCTTCATCTCCGAACTGGCACGCTACAGCAACAGCGAGGTACACGCCTACTGCACCGTGTAGGCAGCACTCTGAACCACACAGACACCACGTGTTGCTGTTATTCTCTCGTACACAAATACTAACATTCATTGTTTTTAAAAATGTCAAATTTTAAAAGTTCATTTCTTTAAATCGAACAAACCTAAATAGGGAAAGATCTTCCAAACCCAAACCTAAATACTTAAAAAAAACAAAACCCCCATAATTGAGTAATCAGTGCAGTTAGCCTTGTCTGTATCTATTCAGATGCATTAAATATAGCTTTGCATCAGGAAAACAGTGGGAATGTTGGGGTGGGGAGAACACTTGCCCATCACATATATAGCTGGGCTTGGAGGGAGGAGGGGAATGGGGCAGGGGCAGGAGAGGGGATGGGGGAAAAATCCTGACAAGGATTCCAAAAGAAAAATCAAGAAAAGGATGGAGAAATAGAAGCTGGATGGGCAAACGAGAGATTTCTGAGCTGTGGGCCTTGTCATTTTTAGTAGGGAAGTCAGTCCCAAGGCCTAAAGTAACTGGAGCCTCTCGGTTGGTACAGGGGACGTCCTCTGTTGGTCTCAATTGGGTTCATTTTTTTCTGTCGGCTGAAGAATGAAAAGTCAGGAAAAAGCAAGAACAACAGATAGTATCAGGGGAAATCTCAGACATAATCAGCTAGTGGAAAACACTTTTATTAAAGATGAATACACACACACGATAGCAAGGCACAGAGAAAGATTCCCTACAAAGCAGAGGACAGACTCTGGAGTTGGTTTCTCTTCAAGGGGTGAAGATTTTAAGGGTTCTTGGTGTGCTGAAATGGGGAGGATTTTCTTCCTCTATTTAGAGTTGGTCAGTTTAAATAAAGGGAAACTGATACACCCACAGCGTTGGGTAAATGGGTTCTGGTCCAGCCTTGAACTTGTTGGATGGGTCTGCCTATAGAGGACCTTGCTAGTGGATAAAAAGCCTGTCAGCCCTTTGGCTCTCTGCTAGGTCTTCATCTCAAGTTAGGAAGGCAAGGTTATCAGTTTGTGGTACCTTTATCAGCTTCTCAGGAAGTGTGGGCTTAGAGATAAGTTAGAAAGATGAGTGCCCACAGAAATGGGGTCTTTATCATTCTTTACAGTTCTGCAGTCAGGTTGCTGTGACCTTCTTTTGGACACTCAGATTCTTTTAGCTACCCAGATGGCCACTTGGCTTGTGGCATAGGCAGGAAGGTAGTTATAGCCTTTGGGAGGGTCTGGTTAGGAGGAGCCAGGAAGCTACTCTAATCTTAGTAGGCCTGGCGGTGTCAAGGCTGTAATGCAGCCACACCTTGTGTGTATGTGAGATTGACTGGGAGGAATGCAGGTCTCAGTCTGGTTTTGGGAACTGGTCGGTTATTCAGGTTCGGAGGACAGTTAACACAGGTGGGGAACACCTCTGCTTCCTGGCCATACACACTGCAAGATTCAGAGCACTAGTAGTGGAACCTAAGTGACTGAAGAAGCCTTCTCCAAATGTCTCCGTTTGTCTGCTGCTCCCAGGATAGAGCCTATATAGGGATTGGGATAGTTCCCCAGGGAAGAGGTGCTGCCACACCACTATTCCTGCAGTTACTCCAGCCTGCCGTGTAGAAATGAATGGTGGACCTGAGCTCCACATGACTTCAGGCTGTGCTTGTAAAATGAGTTAATAGGAGACTTGTAGACAGTATGAACATCTGGAGGAATGGAGAGCAACAGTTAAATGCATTTTACAGCATTCATTTCCTGTCTTCCTAGATTCTGTGATAGTATCTTTTTTGTTTTTTGTTTTTGTTTTGTTTTGTTTTCAAGACAGGGTTTGTCTGTGTAGCCCTGGCTGTCCTAGAACTCACTCTATAGACAAGGCTGGCCTCGAACTCACAGAGATCCACCTGTCTCTGCCTCCCAAGTGCCAGGATTAAAAGCATGTACCACCACTGCCTGGTTTAATATCTTTATAAGAAGATGTAAGGGTTTTTGTTTGTGGGTAGACATGAACCCTCAGCCTTTTGAATGCTGGGATTCCTGCATGCATGTACCACCACACCCATCTTTTTATTTTTTGAGCCTGATTGTCAGAATCTCACGTGGTTTCTGGTTGTGGTTTTACCGTGAGTGTGCTATATCAGGAGCATAGATGAACATGTTTGTGTCATCATTCAGTGTTAGAATTTATTGAATAATGATACATTCACGAATTTTTGGTTTCATAGAAATCATTTTGCTGTGACGTTTCAAAGTCCTTGTTGGATGTGGCAAACAGATTTTTTTAAATTCTGATCTTAGTTTGCTAATATTAACTCCCAGATCATATATTACAAATCACATAGTCACTGTATCTCTATATACATTTATGCATAAATTCTGTAGGTTAAAGAATGGCTAGGAAGGATAAAAGAGGTCGCACTGGAGTTGAAGTAGTTTCAGGAAAGGAAGCCTGACTGGAGCGTACAGAGCCAGAGGGCCAGAAGGGCCAGAGGGCTGGAAGGTCCAGGTTGATGAAGAGGTAGCAGTTCCAGATGGACAGATAAATGGATGGGGGGTGGGGAGGGGTGAGTGAGCTGTGTTAACCGTAGGACCAAGCTGAGCTGAAGGCCCTGGGACAGTTGACCATCTCTTGACACGCAGACTGGGTGGTTAGGTGATAGGCCTATGCAGGCCATTCCCACGGCATCTGTACCCACCTCTCTATGGAGTCTAGGTGAGGCAGTAAACTCTTTCCTTGGTCTGTTGGGCTCAGCAAAGTTCTCAGACCTGGTTCTCCTATGATTTTGGTCTGCTCGTGTATTCATATGGTTTTCTTATGGTTTGACAAGTTTATGGGATATCCCCCTTTTTACTTTTAGGAAATCAGTTATTTATCTGTGTGTTCCTTGTGCTCATGGCTGTACAGACTTCTGTGCCTACCAAGTGTCCGAGTCAACCTGTTGCTGTGTTTGCACTCACAGCAGAGCCAGATGCCGCTTGTAAAATGAAGTTTATTAGATGAGGCACGGTCTGGAAAAACACTGTTTCTAACATTGTGAAGTGACTTAGATCAGAGCACAGCCAAGTCTCAGTGGGTTTGGATTTCAGTTGCCCTCTGACTAATACCGTTGAGCACCTTTTCATGTATTCATTGGACAGTTAAATATCACTTCTGTACAAAGGTCTATTCAGGACTGAGCTTATAGTTCAATACTAGAGTATCCAGCATGTGTGAGCCCCGTGTCCAACACCAGGCAAAACAAGACAAGAACGACAAAAGCTGAAAGTCATACAGACTTGTAACCGCAGCGCTGAGGAAGTAGGTGCACACTTGGAGTGAGTTCACGTCAGTCACAGCTACGTAGCAGAAAGGGGAGCATGTTCGGACTCTGCTCGTTTTATATGTCTATGCATATGTGACTTTGAAATCGGTTTCTAGAGTAGAATTTCTGAATGCTATGTGAGCTTTCCTGGGGGAGATGAACAAGTGTCTATTCTAGGTAGTACACTAATGGCAAACCAAAGAATCAAATCTATCCAAGTCTAGTTTAATGAACTAATGAGTTTAACTTGGATCCTTGCAGTAATGTGGATAGCTTACAGATAGTTATATACGACTGAACACAGTAACCATTAGCTCCTTACACACCTGAGGGGAGGAGCAGGGTCTTCAGTGACCTCTCACGAAGCCCTCGTGTTAATAGGTCTCCTGAGTTCAGGAGTTCAGCTGGGCAGGGGTAATGGCCTGCCCAGAGAGCTGTGTGGCACAGCAGTGAGTGTGGAGGGAAGCCGGATGGGGTCTCTTAACGCCTTTGCCTATGTGCCCTAGGTAGTCACAGGGTCTGGCCGCCAGGAAGCCCAGAAGACAGATGCTGAGTACCGGAAGCTCTTCGACTTGGCTCTGCAGGGCCTGCAGCTTCTGTCGCAGTGGAGTGCTCATGTCATGGAAGTGGTAGGCGCGGCATTCTTGTATTTGGAAATTTGAGTAACTACCTGGACACTCCTGGTTGCTTAGAAGTGCTTGTCCTCAGAACTTGTCAGTGTCATAAAAAGGACCCGTTTTCTCAGAGATCAATGAAACTGGGGGTACAGGGTGGGTTATAGGACAACTTGCAATGGCAAGACCGTTTACCAGAAATCAAACTCTGGTTGTCAGGCTCGGTGGCAAGTGCCTTTACCACCTCACAAGCCCTCATTCTTCTCTTTTGTGCAACATTTTACTCTTTGAAGTTTAACCATTAGTGTCTTAAGGGTTAGTAAAATGTTTCTGGTAATGTATAAAAATGTAAAGAACTATAAATTGCATGCTTTTTTCTTTTAAAAGATTATTTTAGTCATATAAAAATTATTTAATTGGAAGAGTAAGTACATGGTTGTTTGAAAGGCACATTTTCATTTTAAATACAAGTAGCCTAAAGTTTTACTATTCAGCATACAGTAATTTGGACATTTTGCCTGGGTTAGTTCTTAAGCTTTGCTTATATGACTGAGTATGTGCTGATTTTTTGGAGATTGTGTATATGTGTGTGAGACAGAGAAAAAGAGGGAGAGAGATTCAGAAAGCAGTTTATGCTTAAAGACTCACCTCCTGTTGGATTCAGCCGTAGTCTTGTCGGTCCGAAATCAAGTGTTTTGATTTCAGTCTGGAATGTCTTTGCTCTTTTTGACTGCGTCAGTATTCCTGGAAGCTTGTACATCCAACAGACAAGTACTCCAACAAGGACTGCCCTGACAATGCTGAGGAGTACGAGCGGGCCACGCGTTATAACTACACCACTGAGGAGAAGTTTGCCCTGGTGGAGGTGAGAATACCCGCTTCCTGTTCTCTGCAGCTCACATTGCTGCCTCTCGAAAGCAAAAGGAGAACATGGACACAGTGTCATGTGATGCCATTGCTTGTGTGGTGGGCAGGCCACTGCATCTGTCAGAGGGCAAGAGTGGCTGTTAATTTCTTAGGTGTGCATTGACAGCCTGTCAGACTAAGGTAGCCAGCCCCTCTGTGAGAGCTTGTGATCAGAAGTGAGAAGACAGAATCCTTACTATTTTTTAATTGATTTATTATTGATTTTTAAGAGTTCTTTATAGAGTCTGTATACAAGTTTTTTTTTTTTTTGATTGTTAAACTACCCTTATATTTTTTTCACCAAACCATCTTGATTACACTATGCCATCTTTATATTTATTCCTGGATTAAATTACCTAATGATTTGCTTAGGAGTTAGTGAAGTACCTCATCAGCTTAGTGATCAATAGGTAGACCTTTCTTTCTTGAAGCTTTACTCGTATTTATTTGAAGATTTATTTTTAATTATTACTATTATTAAATTATTATAACATCCTTATTTCTGTGTCTATATCTGTGAGTGAATGCCACATGTGTGTGTAAGCTTCTTTCTTGAAGCTTTACTTGTATTTATTTGAAGATTTATTTTTAATTATTACTATTATTAAATTATTATAACATCCTTATTTCTGTGTCTATGTCTGTGAGTGAATGCCACATGTGTGTGTAAGGGGTTTGTCTTTGTAATCAGAAGGGGTCTTTGGTTCCTTTGGAGCTGCTGTTATAGGTGCTTGTGAGCCACCTGACACGAAAGCTGGAAATGCAGGTCCTCTGCAAGGATCTCCATGTACTGAGCCATCTCTCCAGCCACAGTCCTTTTGTAATACACAAGGACATAATCAGCCCAAGCTTGTTTTGCTGACTCTGACTGTAAAGGACCCCAACTTTATTATTTTGCATGTGAGCATCCAGTTGTCCCAGTGTTTAATGGAAAGGTATCCTTTAACAATTCAGCTGTTTTGGCACCTTATTAATTGTTGAAAATCAGTTCCTTGTCAGTGTGAGGATTTAAGTTTATTCTATTTCATCAATAGAGGTGCAGAGTAGAAGGTATATCCTTTAGTGTTTGGGTGAAAAGTTCTGTAAACATCTGTTAGGTTCATTTGGTTTATAAGGTGGGTTATCTCCAGCATTTCTCTGTTTAGTTGTGTCTGGAGGACCTGTGCCTTGGTGAGAGTAGGGTATTGAAGTACGTGAGGGACGGTGTGTGATTTAAGCTGTAGTAGTGTTACTTTTACAAACTTGAGTGCCCCCGTGTTCGGAGTATATATGTTAAGAATTGACACATTATGGTGGATTTTTCCTTTGATGAATATGTAGTGTCCTTCCCTATCTCTTTTGATCAGTTTTGGTTTGAAGTCTTCTTAGGTGCATTTGCTTGGAAAGTCTTTTTCCAACCCTTTTCCCTAGCATCTGTTCTTTATTTTGGGGAGTGTTGCTCAGATACAGAAGAAAGCTGGATCCTGTTTTTACATCCATTTTGTCAGTCTGTGTCTTTTTATTTTGGAGTTGAGAACATTTATATTGAGAGTTATCAACGAGCAATGATTCGAAGTTCCTGTTGCTGCTGCCGCCGTTGGTTGTTGTTGTTGGTGGTGTGTGTGTGTGCATGTGTTTCCCTTTTGATTTTGCTGCTGTAACATTAATTCATTCCCCTGTGTTTTCATGTGTTCAGTTAACCTCCTTAGGTTGGAGTTTTCTCTCTAGCACCTTCTGTAGGGCTGTTTAAATTTGATTTATCATGGAATATCTTATTTTCTCCTTTATGGTGATTGGAAATTTTGCTGGCTATAGTAGTCTGAGCTGACAACTATGGTCTCTTCAAGTCTGTGACACATTTGTCCAGGCCCTTCTGGCTTTTTTTTTTTTATTTTTTTTATTTTTTATATTAATTACATTTTATTCACTTTGTATCCCAGCTGTAGCCTCCTCCTTCCTCCCCTCCCAATCCCACTCTCCCTCCCTCATCTCCTGTGCCCCTCTCCAAGTCCACGGATAGGGGAGGTCCTCTTCCCCTTCCATCTGACTCTAGCTTATCTGGTCTCATCTGAACTGGCTGCATTGTCCTCCTCTGTGGCCTGGCAAGGCTGCTCCCTCATCCAGGGGAGGTGGTCAAAGAGCTAGCCACTGAGTTCAGGTCAGAGACAGTCCCCTGTTCCCCTTACTAGGGTACCCACTTGGATACTGAGCTGCCATGGGCTACATCTGAGCAGGGGTTCTAGGTTATATCCATGAACGGTCCTTGGTTGGAGTATCAGTCTCAGAAAAGACCCCTGTACCTAGATATTTTGGTTCTATTGCTCTTCTTGTGGAGCTCCTGTCCTCTCCAGGTCTTACTATCTCCTCCTTCTTTCCTAAGATTCCCTGCATTCTGCCCAAAGTTTGGTTATTATCTGCTTTTATACAATGCTGGGTAGAGTCTTTCAGAGGCCCTCCATGGTAGGCTCCTGACTTGTTTCCTGTTTTCTCCTTCCAATATCCATTCTATTTGCCTTTCTGAGTGAGGATTGATCCTCTTACCCAGGGACCTCCTTCTAGCTTGCCTTCTTCCCTTCTGGCTTTTATTAGTCTCCATTGAGAACTCAAGTGCAATTCTAATGACTCTGCCTTTATGTGTTACTTGGTCTTTTTTGCTTAAAAAAAATGTGAGTGCTGGGAATTGAACCCAGGGTCTCTGTGAAAGCAGGCAGTGCTCTTAACTGCCGAGCCATCTCTCTAGCCATTGACCTATACACTTTGTAAAAGTAAAAGTTTTCGGTTTTTTTTATTCTGTTTTAATCAAAACAGCAATATAAATTCATCAATTAGTTCTCCAGTAGGGGTGGAGTGATGGCTCAGGGATTAAGAGCTCTGACTCTCTTCCAGAGGTTCTAAGCTCAATTTCCAGTACTTACATGGGGCTCACAACCATCTCTAATGGGATCTGATGCCCTCTTCTGGCATGCAAACGTACATGCACATAGAATATTCGTATATATAAATAAATCTATCTTTTAAAAAATCGTTCTCTGTCATGAACACATGGAAACCCTACATGTGACTTGAGGGAAATGTATAGTAACACCTATGGAGCTATCACAAAGTCAGAATCCAAGCAGTTGGCTTCCTTTTCTTCAGGGCCCTTAAGTCAGTGTCCCATTGTTGTTTAACAAGTGGGAATTAATATACAAGCTCTTGTAACTTTTCCCTTTTCTGATTCCTTTCATGTTTGAGCGTTTACGTCTGCATCTGAAGTCCATCAGGGATGGGCGTGATAGACAGTGTTCCTGAGTCAGATGTTCTGCTGCCCTCAGGGTACTCGTGGTCAGATGGGATGAGGTCAGTTCCAGGTAGCCTCAGAGCGCACCGAGTCTTGTGCTCTGGGGAATAAGGTGGTGTTACAGGGTAGCTCTGTAGTGGAAAGGAGGGAAGCCAGGGGAAGGTCTGTGTGTGAGAAAGAGATCCCCCAGGCAATGAAGGACTGTCCACTGTCCCCCTTCAGGCACTGAAAACTGTGTCCTTACAGGTGATCGCCATGATTAAAGGCCTGCAGGTGCTGATGGGCAGGATGGAGAGTGTGTTCAATCATGCTATCAGGCACACCGTTTATGCTGCACTTCAAGACTTCTCCCAGGTGACCCTCAGGGAACCGCTGAGACAGGCCATCAAGAAGAAAAAGAATGTCATCCAGAGGTCAGCCTCCCACACCTCTCCCTCACAGCCCCAAAGCAATGGATGGAGCTTAGATTCAGACAGACGGAGTGTCATGCTTTCCAAAGTAGGCTCAGTACATTTATCTTTGGCTCCTACTCATATTTTTTACATAGAATGTGGTGGGGCCTGTTAATAACCTTGTCAACAGTAAATAGCCTACTACTGAGCATTAAGGAATATGGAGAACGGAGGGTCAAGAGAATATTCCAGTCACCAAGCATTCAGGGGTATAAGGCCCCACATTCTTCTCCCTCCCCCAAATATGTCATCTGTAGCAGTTTACTTTTAGATTCTCCTACAAGTCTGGCAAAAAATGACCTAGATATTGTCATATAACTTAGACATCTTGAGGGTTTCTAATGTGGGCTTTTTATATAAAGTGACTTAAAAAGAAACATGTGCAGATGAAAACCAGCAGAGTTCCTTTATGGCTGGTATGCTTTGTTACCTAAGGTGATATGGTTTTTAGCAATAACAAAGTTTTATACTGTGTGTGCATTCTAATGCTCTAAGAGTCTCGGGAGAGGGAGGGAGGGCTAGCGCATGTGGACACATGTAAACACATGCACGTGTGTGTGAGGTTAGGGATCAACATGGATCTTTGCACATACTAGACATACGCTACTATTGAATCTTATGAATCCAAAACTTTATAAATGACAATATGATGCCATAGTAGAAAATTACATCCTATATTAGATAATTTTATATGCAAAATTATTCAAAATAGTATATAAAATTGCCATCTGGCTATATGTATAACTTGTATATAAAACAAATTATTATCCTGTTCAGACTTGTATCTTGTCCCCTGAGAAAATTTACTTTCCCAACCTTAGATGTGAAATCCTAAATTCTCCAGGTTCCAGCCTTTCAGATAAAAGACACTTTTGTTGGAGGCACATTAGGTATAGACAACAGCCAGACTTGTTCCACCAGCCAGAGAGTCTACAGAATGTATACTGTACTCTGGGTTTTATCCAAAATATTCCAATAGAGGTGACCAGAGTTACCATAAGATGTCTGCATACCTTGTACCCCACCTTTAGATGGAGTACAATTAAGTACAGCCTGTTAGCAATGGGTTAAATTTCCAGTGAGTGTAGGCACATATCCAGCCTCCCGAGCTGTGTGATGGCTTCACATTCCTCACTTAGAATGATTGGCCATGGCCGGGTAGAGCCCTGCTGTCGGGGTGGGCTTTGGAGAGTTCTCTTCTCCCTGCCCTGGCTTGACCACCTGGCTGTGTTCACGAAGTTAAACCTTGTTTCCTGGGTGACTGGTGCAGGCTACATCTGAGGTAAGTCTTTTGGGAACATTCAGCACGTTAAAGGATGCACTCTGCTTTTGTAAGTTTCCTATGAACTAGACTCTTCCATGTTACTTCAGCCAGAGGGATTTTCCTTGTGTGGGATTTTCCTTGTGTGTTGGCAGTTTGTTAGGTGAAGAGATGCCATGATTGTAGAAACCCCAGTCTGATGACTTGATGCGGTTGTTTAGTGTCCTGCAGGCCATCAGGAAGACTGTATGTGACTGGGAGACTGGGCACGAACCCTTCAACGACCCAGCTCTGCGGGGCGAGAAGGACCCTAAGAGTGGCTTTGACATCAAGGTGCCACGCCGTGCTGTGGGACCCTCCAGCACACAGGTTCTCATCTTTCTCCTAGAACTTGGCTAAGGGGGGGTGCAGACAAGGCAGGACTGAAGTAGTGGTTGCTTTCTCTGCTCGGGCAGATCCTCTTGTGCCTGAGGCTTTTTTTCTCTTCTCCTATGCTCTGGCCAACTGAATTTGAAACCTTAACTGAGACATTCCTGTGAGTATCTGGTTTGTTCATTTAACTGCAGAAGTCATTTGCTGCCCTTTCTAAGTTCTGTCTGTGAAATACATGCCTCCATTTCCATAGTTATACTGTTTCCTTTTTGGTTTTTTGGAGACAGGGTCTCATGTAACCTAGTCTGGCCTCAAACCTCTGATTGTACAGCCTCCACTGTCTGGGTGCTGGGATTATAGGGTGTTCCACCACCCCCAGCACCACTTTTGTATTTGTAAAGACAGGCTCTTATAGCTGTGGCTGGCCTGGTACTCACTGTATAGCTCAGGGTGAGCTTCAAACTCAGCTTCCAGTTTCAGCCTCCTAGAATTGCAGACATGTACCAGCACGTCTGTGTTTCTCTATCAATGTTTAAATGTTACGATTGTAATTTTCATGTTGAATCTATAAGTTGAGTGTTTCTGAAAATGAAATGTTGCTTTCATATGTCATGGTCTAAAGCCACTGTTGCTGCTTTCTCTTCCAATGTATGTAGGCCTTCCTTGAGGTGCTTCTCACTGACTCACACTCGGTTTTATATGCTCCTCTGCTTTGGAACCTGTCCTTCTTACATGTCTCTCTTAGAGGCTTCATAATCTCTATCACTCCTGTAGAAAGGTACCAACAAAGCACACACGGCTGGGTCTGTACGGAACCTCTTGGAGATCAAGAGAAAGGCTCTTGGCCATTCTTGGGGTCTGTGTGAGGCATATCACTGCCTTTCGCTCTTCCATTCCATTTGCCTGTTCCTGTGTCCCCCACCCAGACCTGTGCATCATGTGACTAACGGCTCTCTCCCGCTTCTCCTTCCCTGTCTGTCCATGTCTAGCTCTACCTGGTGCGCACTATGGCTGAGTCCTTGAACTCTGCCGAGCTGCTGAGGCAGCTCAAGTCTCTGGGCATGGAAAGGCTCTTGCATGTGGTAAACGCGTTTCTGAGGCAGTCGTACACCTATCCACCTCTTTTAACCTTTGGTGGTAAGACATTGTTTGTTTTTCTTGTTGATGCTTATGGCACGGAGGTGAGCTGCTCCCCTATACAGAGTTCATCCTAAGAAGCAGCATCTTGGCTATGTGGATACCCAGGCCCTCTGGACAGCCTGTCTATGGCAGGCTGATTGTGGGCATGGGACTCAGTTGAGATGTAGTGGAGCAGTTCTTCTCCTATAGACTTTCCCATTTGATGTAACTAATGTACCATTTATATTTTTTTCCCTACAAATATCTCTTTGGATAATACAGCTTTACATGGTGAGAACTATGCTAGAGTCCCTCATTGCAGACAAAAGTGGTTCCAAGAAAACCTTGAGAAGTAGCCTTGAGGGGCCCACCATATTGGACATAGAAAAATTTCATCGAGAGTCATTCTTCTACACTCACTTGATAAATTTCAGTGGTAAGAGACAGTGCTGACCAGAATCCGGCCTGGCATGCTCTAACACTGCTAACACCACCCGGGACGCTTCTGCCTACCTGACCATCCTCCTGCCCATCTCTTCACGCACCCACATGGTGCCACGTCCTAACCTTTGTGGTGGTGGCCAGACATCCTGGAGATTGCCCCCAAGTCCCTTGCCACTGCCATGGTCTCTGTCAGACATGGCCTTTGGCAGGACAAGGACAATAGGTCTTTGGTAGGCCCTGCTGTGTAAACACAAAATCACGATCACAGAACAGGGACATGGAACCTCTCATGTGGATCAAGATCCAGGCATTGGTGTAAAGATACGGCCCTTCTGGCCCCCACTGCCCAGGTAGCAAAAGTGCTCCGAGACATACTAGTCACCATTTAGGTGATACCCAGCCACTTTGACCTGGCACTGGTGGGTGCTTTCTACCCTGAGTCTGCCTGTGGCCTCGTCCAGCTGTTCACGTCACCTGCTTAGAGCAGGAGGTGTCTGTGCCTTGCCTGGGGTGCCGCAGGCAGTCGAGTAAATAGTAATGCTGCTAATGTTAGCTCCGAGAATGTAAAACAAATCTTTATCATTTAAATCTGTTTCTAGTTTTGTATTGGTTGAACCACTCCTGAATATGCATGTGTCCATTCTAGACACTGGTGTTTGTCTTACATAAAGGGAACTACAGGTTGAGTATCTCGCATCTGAAATGATTGGGACCAGAAATGCTTCAGATTATGAGTCTTTGGAGGGAGGGTAGCCAGATATGTACAATGACAAATTTTGAAGGATGGGATCCAAGTCTAAATGCACTGGTTTTTACACACCTCATACACATGGTCTGCAAATGATTTTAAACCTTCATATGCTGCATAACCATATTTCAGTCAGTTGCAGATGTTGCCTAGTGATGTCACACTCATCTTAATCTGTGTCAACATCTGAGCACACTATTGTCACACCGTCTCAGAGTGTGACCCTGTCCCTAGACACTGCATTATCATGGTCTTTGTGTATCTGCATTTAGATTTGAGCCCCTCACATGAGATGGATGTGGGATGTCTCACTTACAACATCACATCGTACATTCGGAGACTTTGGAGCATTTAGGATTTCTGGTTTTCAGATAAGGGATGTTAAACCTGTGGTCCTGTTTTTACTTCTCCTTTTTAAAAGGTTGCAGTCCCCTGCTCCCGCCAAGAAGGGTCCCTAAGGTCCCTGGTGGCAGGAGGACACTAGCTACTCAGGAGGTGTAGGGTCCTGACCTGTACTTACAGCACACCCGTGTTAGTCTTGTCTCTCACATGCAGTGTCTAGTGAACCCTTCCTGCTTGCATCCATGCTGCATGGCTGGGAGCTAAGCATAGAGGAGTCACATCCTGTATGCAACACCTCTTGTTTCCTCTATACCGAGTCATTTTCTGCTCATCATGAAAGATAACCTGGTGTCATTTGAATCCCTCAAGAAACACTGCAGCAGTGCTGTGACCTTTCACAGCTGTGGTTCCGAGAGTTCTTCCTGGAGCTGACCATGGGCAGGAGGATCCAGTTTCCCATTGAGATGTCTATGCCCTGGATTCTGACTGACCATATCCTGGAGACCAAGGAGGCATCAATGATGGAGTGAGTGTCCTATGGGTCTACCTCTGAGGCCTCTGCACTCATATGCTTATACCTCCACACATTAGTTCAAGATTAAATAGAAAAAAAGGTAGAGAATACTGATACTAATAAAACACCTTAAACCACAATATAGAGAAAGTAAAGTCACGGAGGGCTTTGGGTAGCCTTTGCATGTTCTTCATGTGAGATATAAGGTGCCTTTCTTTCTCTGACCTGATGATATGTAGTGATCCCATAGGATTCAGCTTTGTACAAACACCATGGGAAGTAAGAAAATGCTTTTCTTCATATGGCAGTTAAATTTCTCCAAAGTAGGCAGCCTGTGAGGGTCACAGGTCAATGGCTTAGGAGGCTGGGGATTGACCAGTGTCAATCCTCTGCAGGTACGTCCTCTACTCCCTGGACCTGTACAACGACAGTGCTCACTATGCGCTCACCAGATTCAACAAGCAGTTTCTCTATGATGAGATCGAGGCAGAGGTAAGGGACCAGCATCAGCTCCTTTTATCAAATACCTTTTAAACTGTACTTTTTTTCCCCTGAGTATTCAAAGAATTAAACTTTAAGTGTAGAGTGGTTTAAATGGTGAAATGTACTTTTTTGTATAAGCCTTTCTAACTTTTTTTTCACCTTCCTCAGTTTATACATTGGAAGTGGATGTGACTTTTTTTTTTTTTTTTTTTTTTTTTTTTACCAAATTTCTGCACCCCTATCTGTTTCAGTTAAGGAGGGTGCTCAATTCACCAAACCAACTTTAAAAGAAAATATATCATTAGGTCTTTTTAAAGTTAGGGGTAATAAAATAGTACTTTGCTGAATTTGTTGGTACACACACTTTTTTTTTCTATACTGGGCAGGTGCACTGTTGTGTGTAACCCCTGACCCGACCCTTTCGCTGTAGCCCAGGCTATCCATAGGCTCAGGACAGTCTTCATGCCTTAGCTTCCTGAATACTGGGATTATTCGAGTAGCCATCATATCTGCCTGTATTTCTTAAGGAGGTAATATACAGGTTGATACAGACACACAGACACACACACACACACACACACACGAAGGGATATCTCTCATTCTTTAGCATAAGATGTAAGAGAAATTAACCTCTAGAGATCATTTCCTGTGTCTGAGCAGCTCCACTACCTCACAGACAGCCTCTCACAGTGTTTCTTGGGGAATGATGTCATGATTCCCAGGCAATGCAGGATGCGTGGGTACAGACTTACCCTCTTGGTTCTGTCTGTGTGCCTTGGGTTTCTCTGCCTCTGAACACACACATTCTCCTGATGGTTCTGAAGGAGGACTGTCTGCAGCTGAGGTTATTGGTCCCAGGGTGTTTTTGACAGCATCATGCGAAGTGCACCTGTCTTTGCTCCAGGGAGAACATGGGATGCACTTTCAGACAGTGGCTCCTAAAACGCCGGGACTTTAGACGTGATGCATGGTCCCTTCCCCTGAGCAGATGGTAGAGGGACTTTTTCATAGTCGTTTGAATTTGAGAGGACAAGAGTGTTATGCTTCCTCTGTGAGGTTCTTTTTGTTTGATTGTTTGTTATTGTTTTGAGACGGCGTCTTATGTAATTCAGGGTGGTCTTAAGATCACTATTAGGCTAGCTGTGTATCTTTTAAGATTTATTTATTTATTTTATGTATATGAATGTTCTGACTGCATGAACACCTGCAGGCCAGAAGAAGACATCAGACTGTAGTATAGATGGTTGTGAGCCATCATGTGGTTGCTGGGTATTGAACTAAGGACCTCTGGAAGAGCACCATTTACCCTTTGAAGACACTGGGGACCAAGCTCTGTGGGAGCTAGTTAGCCATCAAGATGGTTAGGACAGCTATAGAAGCAGCTAGCCACTTTTAGGGAAAGAGCCTGAGCCCGTCTTACTAACAGAGCCTGTGGAACAGTCCTTATAAACACAGACATGATGCGGTTTTGCCATCCATAAATAATCTTGAGGGCATTGAACGGATCCCAACTGTGGCTTTTTTCTGGCGTGAGAAGCTGTGGTGAACACCAGACATGGATGACCATCCGATGTACCTTTTCAGTGTACTCTTTGGAAGCTGTTGGACTTGGCTTGGTCACAGGGGATTCTGGTGTACAGTTGGATGGACAGACTTCTCTATGGATCTCCCCAAAGTAGAATGCCTCACCACACCACACTTCTGCTGAGAAACCCTGTCTTGAAAAATAAAAACAGCAAGAGCCTCACCTTGTGTTGAAGCAAGAGTTTGAAGCTAGGAATTAATGCGTATAATCTCAGGATCCAGGACACTGAGCTTTGAGACTCTTAAGTTCAGAGTTGGCTTAAGCTACATAATGAAACAACCCTTGCTTAAAACAACAACAACATAAGCAAGTAAAGAAAAGCAGAGATGTTTGTTTTTGAGTTTTTATTTGATCTTGGTTTCAGGAGTTGATATCTAACATGGTGTCCTTTTTGCCAGGTGAATCTATGTTTTGATCAATTTGTTTACAAACTGGCAGATCAGATATTTGCATACTACAAGGTTATGGCAGGAAGGTAAGTGTATGAGCTGTGATTATCATGTACAATCTTGGATAATTTGATCTGATATTTCTATTAAGATTCACAATGTATGACAAATATCTTGCCTTTCTCCTGCACCAGTTTGCTCCTTGACAAAAGATTAAGGTCAGAATGCAAAAATCAGGGAGCCACGATCCACCTCCCACCATCTAACCGCTATGAGACGCTGTTGAAGCAGAGGCACGTGCAGGTGAGCTAAGTGACTCGGTAAAGTGTGCCTTGGAAATGATGGGCTTTTCTTAGAGCTAACCCGACTCTTACAGGTATCACGGCGTGTGAATGTCCTAATAATCTCCGCCTCTCTGAGATCTCGCTGTTTTCCAGGCTAGGCGTTGTCATCTTTTTTTGAGATTAAGTCTTAATTGCTACAATATGACACAATGATCAAGGCAGCATAGAAGAGCAAAATATTTATTTAGGGATTATGGTTTCAGAGTGTTAGAGTTTATGATCATCAGGGCAGGGAACATGGCAGCAGGCATGATATTGGAGTAGTTGCTGAGGGACCACATCTGGAGACACAACCACAGGCAGAAAAAGAGTGACTCTGAGAATGGCGCAAGTCCTTTGAAATCTCAGATTGCCTTCCCCCAACAACACACTTTTAACAAAGCCAGTCCTTCCCAAGCCTTCCCATCAACAGGGGACTAAGTATTCATATTCAAGCTTGTGAACCCATGAGGACCATCATCATTCAGACTGCCACAGATTATAATATACTTGCATCAGCTCCCCTTTTTTCTTCCTTCAGGGCCTCCTAAATACCCCCTCTTCTTGCTCCTTTAAATTCAAATTCATTTTTTTTTCCTTTAATTGTGGTCTCAGACATACACACTAAATATGCAAATAAATAAAAAATCCCCTATTTTTCAGGGCTGACAATTTGATACTGTTTAACTAGTCTGTTTGCCCTTTCCTGGGAAGACCACTTCTTCCATCCTCAGCACTACTTAGTTGTATAGGACTCAGACCTCATGAGCTTTCTCCCTTATCCGTGTTAGCTTGTCTATTTGCGTCATCCTTGTTCGGGTTACATTTAGGCAGTCACGTTTGTGAGACTGACATTTGGTATAGCTTCTCTGACATTTGTAGGAGATCTCACGCAAACCCCCTGTTCCTCTGAGTCTCTGACAGTCATTTTAACCCCTCTTTCACAGTGATTGCTGAGCTTTAGGGGCAGGAATTCTGTTGTAGGTATATTAGTTGAGACTAGGCTCCATGACTCCATGTTCCCATTGGTTCTGCTTTCCTGTAATGGCCTCTGTCTGTTTCAAAGAGAAGTTTCTTGGTAAGGGGTGAAAACTACACTTGTGTTTGGGCATAAGGATGAATATTTAAAATTTAGTTAGGGATTATTTTGGTTTAGAAAAGTGGCATTACAGGTTCTTTTCCAAGATCCATGACTTCACTAGCTCTGTGTAGTTGGTTAGGTTTCAGGTTTCCAGTATGATTTACCTCTTGTTGAGTGGATCTTAAGTCTAATTAGAGAGCAGTTGGTTACCACCAAGGTATGTGTGCCACTATGCACCCTTAGGGGTATTATGGCATGCTTTTGGTTGTTGTGGCTCATAGTGTTAATGCTAGGTAGGGCTGTTGGTTGCTTCCCTCCTTTAGAAACTTGCATGTCATCTTCTGATAGCATGGATAGTTTGTTCTTAGAAGGATTTTGGGTCAGATCCATCTCAGGTCCTCTGGGCCTTGTGTTTGAAGTACATGGTATCTTCAGCAATAGGGACTTACCTTCCTCCTTCTGTGGGCATGGGCACAAAGGCAATAGTAATTGCTTGGGATGTGTTGGGAGTCTCTTGGACGACCCTTACAAACAACAAAGAGGCTTCCCATGTGCTTAGACTAGTCTTTCACCACTGGGCTTGAACAACCTTCCTCCCTTAGCCTGAGATTTTAGGTCTATGCTCATGTTTCGTATAAAAGGGTTACATTTTATATTGGACAACCTTAACCACAGGGGTGAAATTAGAGCTCTTTGCACCCTGATTGGCTTCTAGGAAACAGGCCCTTTCTGGAAGAATTGCTCCTTCTCCAAGAGCCCCAAATTCAGACGTTTACGTGATAAAGATGAAGCTGGGAATCTTAAACGAGCACAACCACAGAAACACTTGTACATTTATGTTCATTGCAGCACTATTCAAATAGCCAAGATAGAGAACCAGCCTGTGAACTGAAGGATGGATAAAGAAAAAGAAAATGGTATTTATATAAAATAGAAATTTATTGAACTGAGAGTAAGAATGAAATCCTGTCATTTACAGGGAAATGGATAGAATTGGAAATCATATGAGTTAAATAAGGCAGATTAAAAAAGAACGACATTACATGTTTTCTTCCATATACAGAATCTATATTTCCTATTTTTGTATATGACTGATGGGAAAGCAAAAGAGGGACCACCATAAGGGAGGATAAGAACAGATCAGTTGGGAGGGGGATGACTGTAAACAAAGTACAAAGGATATACATGTATGGAAGTGTTAGGAAACTTATTTTGTGATACAAAATTTTAATTAAAAATAAATTTAAACTGTGTAAACAAATAGAATGAGGTGAGAAGACTTGGATCGCAGAAATCAGAGGTGAAGTTTTTCTTGGCCTAAGCAAAGGACTTTATTAAGATAGACCATGCTAAGGGCTGGAGAGATAGCTCAGTAGTTAAGAGTACTAGCTGATCTTCCAGAGGACCTGGGTTCAATTCTCAGTACCTTCATAACTGTCTGTAATTCCTGTCCCAAGGGATCTGTCTCCCTCACACATGCAGGCAAAACACCAATGTGCGTAAAATAAAAAAATAAAAAATAAATTATTTTTTACAAAAAGATGGGCAGTGCTTATGTTTTGTATCTTTAAAAACAGTAAATAGTAGTGTACTAAGTAATGTCTTGCTTGGTTGCAGCAGTAGTCCCAATACCATTTGGTTAGAGGATCTAGCTCAACGGTAGAGTCCTTGCCCAGCATCTAAATAGACTTGGTGCCATCTTCAGGATTGCTTGTGTGTATGCTTGTGAGAGAACATGTGTCTACGCATTCTTTCTCTCTCACACAAAACAGAGTTTTTTGTATTCTCCTTTGAAATAGGTGTCTCATGTTGTTGCTTGTTTGTTGTTTTAGATATTTGCATTTACTTTTTTTTTTTAAGTATATTTTTTTATTTGGTGAAGGCTTCAAGGAGTATGTGGAGACAGAAGAAAACTTGAATGAGTCTCTTATTTCTATTATTTGGATCCCATGGATTGAGCTGAAGATGTCAGGCTTGGCCTTAGGTGTCTTTACCTATTGACCCATCCCTCCAGGCCTTGTATTCTTTACCTTGATACCCCTTGCCCTCTCTCTTCCTCTAGCTGCTTGGGAGATCCATTGACCTCAATCGTCTGATTACACAGCGTGTTTCAGCAGCCATGTACAAATCTCTAGAGCTGGCAATTGGACGATTTGAAAGTGAAGATTTGACATCAGTAGTCGTAAGTACTAGAACTAATTTGTATTTTTTCTGTTGATAAGTTGAAATAATAGTAGGTCATTTCTTGTGTAGACAATAGGTTGGCCTACACAATGGTAATATTCAAAAGGTTGAATATAGTAAATTCATTTATATATATATATATATATATTTTTTTTTATTTTTTTTTTCCTGTGTTTGTCCATATAAGCTTATTACTTGGGAAAACTGACCCAAGTAATTATGTGCAGATGACGGAGACAGGCCTTAGGACTTAGGAGACAGGCCTTGGTACATTGACGGGTAGTAGTGTTAGGTGGTAATTTGTCCAAATGGCCTTTGTACAAGGTAGGTGGTGGCTTGAGGTAGAAGTGACCACAGAGGAGAAAAGACCAGGGCCCAGGGATTGCAACTGTAGAAGGAGGGGTTCAAGCTCAGTAACAAATTCTGGTCACCTACCAAAGTCCTATTTCATGTGGTTCTGGCCCACATGTTGGTGGCCACCTCAGTGCAATCTTTCACTGTCTATATCTCCTCATATGCTAGACCTCTCAGAGACCACATAGCGTAGGTGGGGTTACAGACCGCAGGTAAATACCTCCTTCCTGTGTGGCCCACCTCTGTTCTCAACGCCCTTGTCCCTGGTCCTGTAGGAGCTAGATGGGCTCTTGGAAATCAACCGTATGACACATAAGCTGCTGAGCAGGTACCTCACGCTAGACAGCTTTGATGCCATGTTCCGGGAAGCTAACCACAATGTGTCTGCTCCTTATGGAAGAATCACCCTTCATGTCTTCTGGGAGCTAAACTATGACTTCTTGCCCAACTACTGCTATAACGGCTCCACCAACCGGTAAGCATGCCATTAGCATCACAAACATGACTGCAGACCCTGTAGTAAGAATTCTGGAATTCTGGTTTCTTTAAAAAACAGAAATATTCTACAACTGTGTGTCTATTTTAATCCCAGTTGTGGGGCTGTGGGGCTGCTTTGCAGCAGCTGACTATGATTTGCCTCGTGCCCCAGCAGAGAGTGTAGTTTTGCCAGCTGCAGATAGTTTCTGCAATTGTATGATGTTTGGAATTCTGGGAATTTTTCAGAAGGCATATAAATGCTGGGGCCATTCAGGGAGGTTGGTTGTGGTTTATTAAAAGCTGTGCTGAAAGAAGAAACCAGAAGAAAGAAATTAGATTTAAGGATCTCTCTCTTTCTCTCCCCTCGGTTCTTTCTCTCTTCTCTGTTGAGGTGCATGTACAGTGGGTGATCTTAGGCATGGACTTTCCATCTTAGTTCTCCCATGATTTCTCATGTTCTGGTTTCTCAGGATTTCCTTGTTTCTTCTATTTACAAGGATAGCCCTGGGCCAGCACTTGGGCAGATGGTTGTTGCTTTGCACATAGAGATAGAATGACTGGCGAAAGGCTGGAGCCAGAGGCAGGAGAGCCACAGTTCTGCCAGCACACTTGGTTGTGACCGTGGGCAGAATCTCATGTGCATTGGAATGGCGGCTGGAACTGTTCTGCCTACTTTAAGTCTCCCTGTTGTCTGACTATGGCAGGTGATTCTGCATCCCATGTTTCTGTCTGAAATGTTGGGGACTGGGAGAGTGTGGGAATGGCTTGCTTCCCACTTACTATTTTGCTGCTGTGTTAATGAGAAAGAAGTAGCAAATTTGGGGGTAGAATGGTTGTGTCATAATGTCTACACTGATCAGTGTAGTGTAATTTCCTTAGATTCAGTCTGTTCTCTTTGTAAGAAGACTACCAGCAATAAGAGGTGGCTTTAAGATAGATCCCAGCTTGACTTCTGTGTCTGATTAAGGCGGTTGTTCCCAAGTCTCCCCACTGTCATGTTACCACTTTTCTCTTTAAAGTTTGTAAGTCACTCATAAGGGATCAACTGAGACTACAGAAATAGTCATACCTTGTTGGAATCTGATCCACTTGGTTTTAGCATCTATGACAAATGCTTAGCTTAATCTCATTTGTCCCTGGATGGTTGAAGAGCAGTGATTTTTCTAATTCCTTCTTTTCTCTGCAAATATTAATGGACATTCTATATGCTATGATTCTTTCCTTTGTTGATGGTTATAAGTATAATCAGGGATTCCATCTTAGGTATTTGTAATCAGCTTTGGGTAGTGAACACCCTTTACAATGGCGTCTGTGTGCTTTTGTATTCCCACCATTTTGTTAAGTACCACTTTATCTTCTGTACCACAAGATGGGGCGTCTGCTAATTGGTATGCTCACTGATACTAGGATACTAGGATGTCACTGTTTCTAGACTGCTACGTTAATAACAATAGGGTGTACTTGTTTGCTCACCATTTTAGATTTCTATGGCTGCTGTTAAATGGAAAAGTGTTCTCTTCCAGTTCAGATCAATGTGTCAGCAAGCCACACTTCCTTTTTAAACTCTGGGTGGAATCCCTGCTTGCCTCGTGCTAGCTTATGGTAGCAGCTGTCAGTTTCTGACACTTCCTGGCTTGTAGCAGTAGCATTCCAGGTTTTGCATTTGCCATGACGTGGTGTTCTTCTTCTGAATCTCTTTCTCTGACCCTTGTTTCATTCTTATAAGGACAATAGCTATATGAATCAGGGGCTTTACTCCCAGCTCTTAATCTTGTCATCACAAGTACATCTATAATGACCCTAGTTGTACCTTCTATGCAGTGGACAAGGAATTTGAAAATATCTTCTGGATGGCCAAACTTTAACTCATAGTATTCATGTATGCTTGTATGTATTTTATTTCTATACAGCTCATGTTGTAGACTAGTGTCTTCACCCTGTTTCTGGGATGCAGCAAAACCAAATGTGTGTTCATTGTAGTTATCGAGGATTGCATTAGACCCAAGATGGTTTTGATGCTACCAGGCTAGAATCTTTGTGAACTAGAAGACTGTGTTTATAGGTAGAAGGACAACAAGTTCCTGCTCTGGCTTGGATTTACCATTATCTGTGGTATTTTAGAGTATTTGTAAATATTTAATTCTGTGAATTTTGATTTACTAGAATTTTCCCATTTGATGCTACCATTTAACAGGGAAAAGATTAAAGATCTATTATAAAAAAATTGTAGCTAAAGAATGGCTATTAAATTTGGTTTTCTTCCCTTCTACTTTTCTCATTTAGGTTTGTTCGGACAGTATTGCCATTTTCTCAGGAATTTCAGAGAGACAAACAGCCTAATGCACAGCCCCAGTATTTGCATGGATCCAAGGTGGGTTGTTTTGTTTGTGTAATGATAGATTTCTGTTGCTGTGGTAAGCATCTGACCAAAATCATGAAGGAAAGGGTTTATTTCAGTTTACAGTTGTAGTCCATTGTGAAGGGAAGTCAGAGCAGGAACCTGGAAGCAAGAATTGATGGAGAGGCCATGGAGAAACACTGCTCATTGGCTTGTTCAGCTGTTTCCTTAAAGCACCCAAGGCCACCTGCTCAGACATGGTACTGTCCCCAGTGGGCTGGGCCCTACCACATCAGTCATTAATCATTAACCCACAAACTGTCTTCTTAGTTGAGGTTTGTCTTCCCATATTAACTCTAGCTTGTCTCAAGTTGACAGGAAACTGAGACAGAAAAGTATTCCTTTTTAGTTTTGAGTTCTCTGAAGAATCTTGGATTATAGTTTAATTGGCTAGCTAGACTTCCAGAGGAAATTTAGCTTTACATTTTTCAGAAGTATCCTTTTCTTATTTCCTTGGTAGAAGTACAAAAAAGCAGAGAGACAAAAACAAGGACCACTAACATTTAATACCTATCCAGAAAAAGAATTATTTTTAATTGTTTTAATATAGCATACAAATAATTGAATTTGTTATAGCATTTTCATACGTTTGTTGTCATTATACTTTGTTCTGATTTGCTGCTCTCTCTGGTGCCCCCTACCTCTCTGCTTAGTACCTTTCCTTGCCCTGTCTGTTTTCATATCACATATATTCTGGGACATGCTTCCCCCCACCCCCAACAAAACTTAGATCTCATCCTCTATTTCATGATCTCCTTTCTGGTCATGTGAGAGATGGGTCTGGGGCCCAAAGAAAATAGCTACACATTGGAAAGTATTTGGGCAAGGCTTCACTTCTGCAGGGGGCTGCATAGGCATGTCAAATCAAGAAGGCAAGAGTCCAGCCTGGTTTTATTCCTAGTGCTAATGGTTTTGATGTCTCACTCTGAGTGGTCAGGGCTCAGCTTCATGCTCTCACATTGGCCAATTTTAAGTAGCATGCTTAGTAAAGAAAATGCTTTTTTATTTATTTAATTTTTAAGATTTATTTATTAATTTTACATATATGAGTGCTCTATCTGCATGTACACCTGCATGCCAGAAGAGGGCATCAGATCCCAGTATAGATGGTTTTGAGCAGTATGGTTGCTGGGAATTGAACTCAGGACCTCTGGAAGAACAGACAATGCTTTTAACCACTGAGCCATCTTTCCAGCCCTGAGAATGCAGTTCTTAGCACTGAGTGAAAGCTAAAGCACATATTTTGTTTTCCAGAAGTGCTGATTTTGGAGGAATTTTAATTTCCGCTAAATGACTTCTCTGTTTTTTGAAGTAAGGTTTAGTAGAAAGAATACATTTTCCATAGCATGACACTGATGCGCACATGCACGCACACACACACAGAAGGTGGGGGTTCGTGCAGACCGGCAGACAGATAACCTTAAATATAGATTCCATGTTTTAAAAAAACACAGTAATTGTGATTCTAAGTCAGTTTTACTTGATTTAATATAATGGTTTCCAATTCTACCCATTTTTCTGTAAATTCTTGGTATATATATAGGTCACATTCTCTGTCTGTCCCATCTATTGATTGACTACAGGACCAACTCCATAAGCTCTTAAGCGTAATGCAGAAATGAACATGAAATGACCTGTAGACCTAGGGTCCTTTGGGTCTTTAGTTAGGAGCGGTGAGGTGGATTATATGGCTGTGTTCTCATAGCATTCTGATAAAGTTTCACAGTAGCTGGTACCACGTCATAGTCATACATTGCATGGGGGCTCTTTCCAAACTTGCTCACCAGCATTTGTTGTCATTTTATTACTTTATATATCGATCAGTTTATTTTAAATTTTACTTTCTTCAGTTCTATGTGTAATCTAGATATTAATCCCGTACGTGAGGTATAGTTGGCAAAAGTGCTACAGCCTGTCTCTTCATACTGATTATTTCTTGTTTTGTTGTGCAGAGACATTTTGTCTAATCCCATTTGTTATTTCCTGTGTCTTTGAAGACCTTTTCAAAAAGAATTACCTAGGTCTGTATTTTAGAATGTTTAACTTGTTTCCCTCAAGTACTTTCAGAATTTTAGATCTTATATCATGACTTGATCCAAGTTTGAGTTGAGTTCTGCATAGAGAGACGGATCCGCTTTCATTCCTCTACACGTGCATATCCAGTTTTACATGTATGTTTTTGATAGCTTTGTTCAAAATTAGATGGCTGGAGCTATGCGGGCTATATTTCTGCATTCCTTCTTTGTTTTGCTCTGTTCTATTCTACTCTATTCTGTTCTGTTCTATTCGATTCGATTCTACTCTTCTCTACTCTTCTCCTCCACTCTACTCTACTTCCCTACTCTACTCTGTTCTATTCTGTCGGAGCAAATATCATGCTGTCTTTGTTAATATGGCTCTGTAATACAATTTGAGACCAGGGATTGTGATACCTCCAGCATTGCTCTTTCTATTAAGAATTGCTTTGGCTATTTGAGTTATTTGTTTTCTTCCATATGAATTTTGCATTGTTTTGAATTTTTGTTTGTTGTTTCTAGTTTTGTGAAGACTCATTGTGATTTTGAAGGGAATTACATCAGTTAAGATTATCACTCTAATTTCTGTCCTTAGATCTAGTTCTGTCCTATGTTACATTTGCTGATTTGCATATGTTAAACCAGATTTGCATTTCTGAAATGAAATCTTCTTGTTCACGATATATATTTCATAATATGTTCTTAAATTTGGCTTGTAATAATTCTTTTGAAATTATTTACTTTTCTTTTCACCAAGGAAATTTGTCTTTAGCTTTGGTTATTGTGGCCATTTGCATTTCTGTGCATCTCGGAATGAGGCTGGGCTCCCTTCCTCTTGTATTTTATGGGGCAGTGAAGAGCTTTTGGCTTCTTCAGTTTTGTTAGCTTGAGCAGTGAATCTGTATGTCTGGGCTTTTCTGCGTTGGAATTTTTCCTTGCTTTGTCTCTCAGTGATTGTTACGGGTGTGTCTTGGTTATGTGTATGTTTTTAGCTTAATTCTCCTAGCCTGTACATCTCACAGCAGTTTTTGTTTCTTCCAGAGTTTTCAGTTTTGTGTAATATAAATTTTCACATAATTCACTCACAGCCCTGGATTTCACTAGGACTTACTGTAACCTCCCTCCCTTTTCATCTCTAATCTTACTAATTCGGGATTTCTCTTTCTTTTAGTTAGTTCTTGTTCTTTCAGTGAATCCACCCTTTGATGGGTTCTGTGCATTGTTCCTTTAATCCTCATTAAATAATTTTTACCTGATTTTTTTTTATTATTTCTTGCTTTTTACGGATTTGGGGATTGGACTTGTCTTGTTTTTCTTAGGTCTTGGGGTTACTTGAGATCTTCCTGATTTTCTTAGGTCTTGGGGTTACTTGAGATCTTCCTGATTTT